ACCTTTACTTTAAGGCTCACTTAATATTTAAAGATAGCTTTCAAATATATAGCTATGTCTAAAGTAAAGCATTTCTATTATCGGCATTTGTAGTAGTATATTTCTTGGTTGCAAACCAATGTAACCTTTACATATAAAGTGAGCTTTAAAGTTAAAGGTTACATAAAAAACGGCCCTTAGACAATAAAATCTAAAAAGTAAAAATATAAACTAAAAAAATAGAAAGAGTTTTAATTAAAAAAAAAAATAAACAAGTTCCTAAAAATTAAATGAAGTCAAAAAATTATATCCTCTTTAAAAGAATAGCATCTAAAAATTAAAAGAGAATTAAATTAATAAAAAAAATTAAGGTAAAATAAGAAAACAAATACATAAAATAGTTTATAAAAATTAAGCAAAACTAAAACTTGTATATTTTTCTGTTGAAAATATTACAATTCAAAAAAAAGAGGATTCGAACTCAGATCTCTCGAATTGCACGCCAGTGCTCTGCTCACTCGGGCATTGCGACTGTCGGAGCGACGCGAGCTACATAAATGCAGTGATCGGACTTTAAAAAAATTCTGTGTGGTAGAATCTGGAAAATAATGTGGTGGATTTCAAAAAAATGTGGTAGATCTCTGGGTTTGGATCAAACTTTGTACAAAAATTAAAAAAATTCTGCAAGGTTTCACCTAAATTGCAAACTTTTTAATTAGACTCTAAAAAAAATTTAATTTTAGTATAATAAAGTGCAAGATAGAAGTTGCTAAAAATTGCGTTGAGTTTTGGCAATTTTTTTCCTTGACAGTGTAAAGCAGTTCCTTTCATATCAAAATATTTTTCGAACATATTTTAAGAAATTTCTGCAACCTTGTGGAGTGCTGCCAGCTTTTCTTTTTATCACATCACGAAGTAGCGAACAAATGTGGCACGTCCAGAAACAGCTAATTGGGATTTGCCGATTTTGACAATTCTCAAGTAAAAGTAAACAACGCCTCAGAAACTTTAGATGCACTTAAATTTGCTAATACTTTCACAAAAAATGCCGTTTTTTAACATTTTCGCTATTATTTAATTCTTTTTATAAATCATATATTTTGCAATTTAATACAATAAAACCACGGTTTCGGTCGAAAAATTTATTACTGAGAAAATTTACTATTCCGGGAATGCGGAATCTTGTATTATATCATTCTTGTTACCATATACCGTTTAGTGTTGGACAATTTTTGCTCTTAAAATCAAGAAAATTATGTCGAGCGAAAATAAAACTACACAAAAACTCGAATATGTCGCAAATCTCAGACCTTGAGTGGTAGATGTGGTAGATGCTCAGAAAAGTGGCAGATCTACCACAATGTGGTAGAAGTCCGATCACTGCATAAATGATATGCAAGTGATTTCTCTTAAAATAGTTTTTCACCACCAGTGGTGAATGAGAGAGCTTTTTTCTTAGACTTTTGTACAAGAATAAGAAACGTCTTTTCGCTATCTTTCCAACCAATCTGTCCTTCGTTTGCCTTACGCAAAACTTTTTAGATACCATGTTATGCAGAATTGCCCCATTGCTCTGCTGATGCGCTCTTACTTTTCGATTTTACTTTTCATGAGAGCTGGATACTAAGCTTATCTCAAGAGTGCAACAACAACAACATTTTTGGGGGCGGAATGACTCCAACTCAGGTCGAAAACCGTGACCCTTATAGTAAAACTTCCATATCTTTTTCCATTCTCAGGGAAAACATTTTTTATGGCCATATTAAATTTTTGTGATTTTTTTACTGAATGTTTTTAGAATAAGTAAAAAATGGATAAAAATTAGAGATAATAATAAGTAGATTGGCGCTTACACATTAAGTTAGTAGTAGTGGGTCGTTTTTTCGAAAGTCTGAATAGAGGTATTCTCAGAAAAAATCTTTATACAAAGGACGTAAAAGTCCATAAAAAAAAACAAATATGCCCCCTTGAAATATGCAACATTCATCTAGCCACCTCGATGCTTCCTTATCAAAAATGCTAATCCGGAAAATGGCTTTCTAGAACATTTTAACCCTCCAACGACCGCCCAAATGCCATTGTATCTAAACTTATCGAAAAAAGTGGTCAAAACGACCCTTTGGTGAGAAAGCTAATGGGTAAGAATTTTCTGCAAAATTATTCCTTGTGATATTTTACTATATGCACCCAAACTACATATTTCGCTCCGATATGAATTTTAACCCTTTATTTCCATTTATTCTAAAAACACATAAAAAAATTACCTGAGGATGCAAACAGATTTAATATGGGTTTAAGTATTTTAACCTGGGTTTTGGCATCACTTCGCCTCCGAAAATTAAATTTAAAATTCTTTCAGACTTTTAGTAACGTTTAATTGATACTTAACAGCTATAAAATAATTGTTTGAAATATTTTCTTTTATTAAAAATTATATTACACTGCAACTGGAAATTGTTAGAAATTTCGGAAATCTTTGCATAAACTCAGCACGGTGAGGGACTGGTGAAATACAATATATGCTTATAGCGTACGCTAAAATAAATTAAAAATATAGGAGCCACAAATATGGCATATCACATAAAGCCCTTTGTTATAAAATACTTCGAATGAAAATTTCAAACCAAAACACAATCTGTTTTTTTTTATACCTCCAAACACGCACGAAATAGCAAAGTTGCTTTTCAATGAAGAAAAAAAAAACTTGACGCTTTCATAAAAACGAAGTCAAGTGTGCTCAAGAAGACAACGCACCAACGCGAAACACTTTCTCAAGTGCTCTCTATAAAAACGCTTTGTTGCAAAAGAAGTCGAGTATGGCGTGTGTGTTTGTATGCACAAACAAACATATATTAGACTGTACTACCTTAAATCCAAACAAAAAAAAATTCGCCGTACAACTCTAAGTCTGAAGTATTTTTGCAAGGCAATTTGGAGAAAAAAAATGTTTGGGCCGATTCTACGGGTCGCACTTTAACATTTTTCGGTGACAACTATGGGCATTGGGCTATAAAATATTTGTTTAGTAGTTCTACAGGAATATTGAAAATACATTCTTAGCAAAAGTTACATAAGGGTGGTACGTAAGATGGACGGACGATCATACGGTAGAGCCACTCTATCAGCCTTCAGCTCAATGCCCATGTTCTTCCAAAAAAAAGCCTGCTACAGGCAAACGAAATGGTAACAAACTTTTTCAAATCCTTTGGTATTTTTGCATTATTTGACCAGCTTAATCCAATGCTGTTGGTTCGATGCACATCACCTCCAACTTTTTGAAATTTGTTGCACTGTATTATGTGTGAAAAAAATACATATTATTTTGAGACTTCTTTACATTATAAAATTCTTTCCGTATCCAATAATAATGCGCAAGATATATTTTTATAAATTTATTTAGTATGAAAGTCTTTTGTTTGAGTCTTTAAGGACAAGACTTGTTCTGTACCATTTCGGGACTAGTTCGGGATCATTTCGGAACAAGTGCGGGAACTATTGGGATTCATTTCGAGACTCGTTAGAACGCAGTTCGGGCGCAGTTCTGGACTAATTCGGAAGTAGTCCCGAAAAAGTACCGAAATAGTACCGGAAAGTACTGAACAAGTCGTGTCCTTTAAGACATAAAAAACTCTCACTTTTAACAATGATGAAAAGACTTTTTTAATAGGGGTATTCTCGATCCGTTACATGTGTTAAAACAACAACAAAATTATCCAATCATGCTATTTCAGCTATCTATGCACCCTGCTAGACAGAAAGCAACGGATCGAGAACACCCCTAATGTAAGTAAAAAAAAAAGTCGTTTAAGACTTAAAAAATTTATCTCGCTGATAATTATTATGAAAATACTTTTAAAATAGGGGTATTCACCTAACATCACAAACTGCCGATAAACGTGATAAAATTATAAATTTAGTTTATCGCGTTATATGAATACTTCCAATATAAGTCTTCGAATATTAGTTATATGTAGATGGCTATAAAACTTTTTATCTTACTATAATAATTATCAATTTATTTTTATTCTTTTCTCTTATAACAGTTATGTCTCTGGGAAAAAATTTCGAAATTGCCCTCCAAAAATAAATTCACCTCAGGGGTGTACGGCAAACTTCTATCCGGCACGCTCTAATGTACATACATACATACATATGTATTTATGTACGTAAATACCAGTAAATATTTTTGTATAGGCACTCGAAAAGAAAGTTGCACGCTTTTCAAAGCATTTATTGAACTCCATGTGCAAGTACAGTGGGTACATTAAAGTACATACATATATGCAAATGCATTGCAAACAAGTAACATATGTATATACATGCGTACATAAATGCACATGTATGTATGTATAAAAATATATTTTTAGAGTAATGCATAAAAATTTATCAAAAAAGGGAGTACAAATTTTACTTAAAAATATTGCAATTTCAAACTTGCACTCAATATGCAAACGCGTAGCAAAGGAAGTTGTTTTGAATTTCAATGGTAAAATATTTATTAAGAATTGCAAATGGACGAAAAAAAAACTAATTCAGAAAATAACAAACCGCAGGTATTGTCGCACACGGCTTCTAAAGCCGGCATTTCTGCACTCAAAAATATTCCCCGATGACATGCAAAACAACAAAAAATATATGTAAATATTCACAATGTATTTCAACAACCATACTATATACATTTAAAAAAAAAAAGTTAAAAAAATACAAAAAAATAAAATGTTACTTTGGCGGCAGCTAATGGACGACATGGCCAAATATAGACCTACAGCTATGCGCGCACCTGCAAGCCGCCGCATAAATGCAATTGCCAAACGATGCATGCAATGCGCAACCAGCAACGTGCAACAGCAAAATACACAACCACAACAACTACAACTACGATTGCCATTACAACTACCTACACCTACACAATAAACATGCACATAACTGCATGCCAATCACTTGAACTCTTTATTTGTGTGTGTGTGTGTGTGTGTGTGTGTGTGTTTGCTTTCTTCTCTTTTTTTTTCTGTGTACATTACCATCAGTATTGTGTTGGGTATAACGGATAAATCCATCGCTGGTATAGAAGTTAACAAACCACTCGGATACTTTTTCATGCGACTGGGGAAAAAAGTCGATTCAACACCCTGCGGTGGTAGTGCGAGTGAGTGCGGCACAGTGGAAAAAATTCGCCAAAGCAGCACACAAAACAAAACAAAAAAAAAACAAAACAAAACAGAACAGAAACAAATAAATTAAAATAAAATAAAAGCGCAAGCAGCAGTAGCGTGTACAAAATACGTACATATATATAAGGGCGTAGCCAGGAGGTAATTTAGTGGGGCAAAGGTAAATATTTCAATAAATACATTATTTTTTCATTTTTTTGTTAAACCATTTTTATACTAACTACTTAAGTAGAAGTACGCCTCGGATTTTCAGCGAACTCTTAAATTACACCGGCACAAAAAAAAGTTGTGTGTGCATTTAACCAGAACCTCCTATCGACATGTTATTCGGCCCGCTGAATCCGAATCTGAGGTCCGTTTGACTCGTATACCCTCAAAATTTCGAGCAAATTGAGCAAAACACAGATACGAATTCAGCGGGCCTTCTACATATCTTCTCATTGGTCAGAGCCAGTTTAAAGGCGCGCGTTGCCAGCAGACAATGTCCCATTGGAATACCTACCGGTAGCCTAGCGTCATCCCTCTTGAGCGAAAGGACATAATCCTGGACCCTTTGCAGCCTTGCGTTTTATTCCATGCCTTCTGCGCTTTCCCCATCACGGACAGGTTGCGTTCCCAATTAATCTCTTGGAGGGAAATCGGCATTTCCTCTATCAGCATGGTTTCCGACGAAGCGCCCTCTTTGGCAAGCCAGTCTGCCTTCTCGTTTCCCGCAATGCCGGTGTGTCCCGGAACCCAATGTCGATGTACTTCATTATTGGTAATCCAGAGCTTCTCTGGACTGCGCCACACTTCTAGGGAAAGGCTGTGCGATAGTAGCGAATTTATCGCAGCCTGACTGTAGATATGTATAAAGATTAACCTGCTTATAGGATTTACTGAGGCCGAGCCAGCACTTTTCATGCCATTAAGCCAGCCTTCGGCCGCTATAGTTGCTTCGAAGTTCGTTTCAAAGTGCCAATCCGGGATCACATAGTCAACTCGACCGACTTGACGCTATACTACTGTGACCGTAGGACCTGCAGGCAAACAGCCCCATAAGATGAAGCCTGGTGGCAGTTTATGACGCTATATTCTTGGCCGATAGGTCCGCCGCCAAGAGGTGCTACAACATGGTATACAGTGCTGCCGTTGGTTTAATGCTAAGTATCTGTCATGTTTCTAGGAAATGTTTTCTTATCCATTGCCGGCCACCAAGCCAATACCACATGGAACAGTATCGGCCTTACTATCTCCCTAATGATCCGATGAGAAAGAGAAGGTAATCATCTTTCTGCATGCATAGAATGCCACGGAGGCCACTTCTCTACATTGAAACGCAACGACAGCTTACTATCCAGTATTATTCTGAGATACTTGGTGATTTACTTCACTTGGAGGATCACCCCATCCAGCTTAGGCTTAAACCAGTTCGGAATCTTGTATTTCCTAGTGAAGAGTAGCAGATATGTATTTTCTCCATTACGGATGTGCGCTTGAAATAACCGGGCTCTCCATAGGAAAGGTGCTTCTATCCAACTGATGGTTGGGCCTTATAACGAAGAAGAAACTTCTCATCGACGGGATAAAAATGAGCAGTGGGAATCGATCACCCAATCTCTTCATACCTTTGCAGGTTTGCTACTACCGCCCTAATGTCTCCTATTTCAACTTTAGTTATTTAGTATACACAAGAATTATATTAACCCCTGCTGCGAAATCTGCATTGAGTCAATATCGCTGAGTGTGTAGTCGTCCTAGTAGTCGATGAGCTAGCGTTGTGGTAATTATTGATTCCTCTTCTTCACCACAGAATCTGAAAATGTCTGTACTAGAGAGGCCAAGTATGTGCATGTGTTTGTTGTACGTAAAGTGCCAGTTAGTGCTAGTTAGCAGAGCGCAGATTGAGCTCTTTTGTCACTTAAGCAAAGGAACTTCTTTGAGTGATGGTGTCCCTCCAGCTTGTCCACTTGTTGATGTCCCTTTTGATGTCGTTGTTGTTGAATACAATAAATGGGCTAGGTCCAACAAAAGGTGTGTCTCCCCTTTTTTTATCTTGGCATGACACCCAGATTAATAAAACCTCATTCTACGTGGCTAAATCATTTATTGCTCTATGGCACTCTATAAGGGTTTTTGATGAGAGCAAGTATCTATCTAGAGCTTCCTGGACAGATTGGCTATCCCAAAATATGGAGATTTTTGTTCTGACATATTGCTTGTTTAATAAGACGTGGGTGGTCTCAAGTATAGCAGCAAGTTCCGCCTGGAATATCATTGCGTCTTCACTTAAGGGAAAAGATGTACAGAATCGCCCATCGATTTATCAGTATATAATTTTTGTGAATCATCGTGCAGCCACTCGGGGTTTCTGCTCCAATCTTCACGAGTGGGAAATATGATCTTGTGCCTCTTCGTAGAGCTAAGTAACGGATCAATTTGGTCTGAGAACAGGATTTTTACCGTAGTGACCTCCTTTCCCTTTAAAATTTCTAGGTGTCCGACAAGGTTGCCTTGTTTGAATATATTGGGTGTTCTTTTCATCGGCCCTGCTTCAGATAGACACGCAAGTCTCTGGATCTTGCACAATTTTTTAATATCTGTTGTTTGACTTTGCACCATATGAGTACTCCGTACACTATTGTGGGTTTGACCATCTGAGTATAAGTCCAGATAGTCATTTTGGGATTGAACTCCCTTATTTTTCCCACAAATCTGTTTAGCGGTAAACAGCGATTTTGTTGCTATGTTAATAATAGATTTACGATGTCTCTCCGAAGTGAATTTTCGATCCAGAGTTATGCCTAGATATTTGACCTCCTCCCTTAGGGGAATCACAGTATCATTTATGTTTAGATCTGGAAAGAATAGCTTAATTTTTCTAGTGAAAGTTATGATTGTAGTTTTGTTGGGATTTATCGAAAATCTCTCTTTCCCACACCAATTGTAAGTTATGCTTATGGCGTCTTGCATCAAGTCCCCTAATGGTTCTTTCATGGTCTTGATGATATGGTTTAAAATCCTTTCAGGGACTTGATCATCAGCCAGTATATACCACAACAGTGGAGATATCCCTCCTCCCTGTGGACAGCCTTTTTCAAGGTTCAGCAACAGTTGCATTATTCCAAGCCACCCTGACGCCAATTAACCGCGCCACTATTGAGCTGTTCCGCTACAAAAAGGTAGGAAAGAGAGAGGTATGTATATTTAAAAATAAGAAAAGTGAGGCAGGACTGCGGCGCGAAATTAAGAATAGCGACACAGGTAGTTTGACGAAAGAGAATGCTGCGCTTGCTTCAATGTATCAGCACAGAATAACGTAGGCCTCATGTGGAAATGTAGAGCATAGTTACGAACTCACAATTTGTTTTTCTTTTTATTATCAATTTTTTTAATCATCTCATAATTTATTTCATCATAATTTATTCATCTTATAAGTTTGAAGGAGGACCGCTACCCATGATGATCCTACCTGGCTACGCCCTTACAAATTTACATATGTACATACAGTATAAGCATGTGAAAGCAAAATAAAATGAATGAAATAAAACAAAAAGTTTCAGCATTAAAATAGGATATACGAGTAAAATGGTGTGTACGCGCGAGTGAAGCAAACAATTTTAGGTGGCGAATAAATTGGCGGCACGAGAAAACAAAGCAGATTTATAAATGAAGTGTGGAACGAACAATTAACACCAATGCCAAGCCACGCAAAGCCAAACCAAGCTCGCCGATTCAAATACGTGTACATTGCAATTGTGGCGTAGATTTCATGATTTATTGCATTTAATATACATATGTATGTGTGTATGTATGAAAAATGCTTCACCTGAAGTGAAATTTATTTCTCTTTTCTTTAATTAATTTCCCTTTGGTGCGAGGCCAAAAATTTGTACTTGCCTACATACATACATATTTATGTAGGTAAATTTTTTTTTTAAACTTTTCAACACACTCATTTTTATTGTATGAAAAGCATTAATAACAGAGGTCAACAATATAGAACAATTTGTTTGATGTCGAGTTATTTCAATGAGGCAAATGTGTTTCGTTATATATGTGGTGAATACACAGTTGAAAAGTTCCCAGAACCTGCAACAGATTTTAAAAAGTTCTTATTTTGCCTCCTTCAAATGGAATAATGATTTATCCACAAGCCGCGGATAACCCAAATTTTTTGTAAACAGTGCTGCGATTTCAAAGGAAAGCCAAAACCCTTTACCCAAGAAGAAGTAAATAATATTGTTTTTTTTCCTTGTTCAGATTACAAGTCTTTATTCTGGCAATGGGAATGTCGTAAATCCACGCTTGATTTCAAGAGATAGAATTGTATTGCCCCGCCTCTTTGTATATAAAGCTGGGTCTTATAAAACAGGTTATTAGTTTAGCAATCAGTTTTTTATATACATATATATTTTTTTTTTCTTTCTTTAAAACAAAAAAATATTTTTATTTAAGAAAGAAAAACAAAAAAAAAACAATTAAAACACTGCAAAGATCCTAAAAATTAAATGAACTAAAAAAAATATATTTTTTCTTTTTAAAACAACATAATCTAAAAATTAAGAGAAAATGAAACTAACAAAAGAATGAGAAATTAAATAAAAAAAAACAGAAAAAATAAATAAAATGAATTTTTAAAAAGTAAACGAATTTAATAAAAAAAAATATTTTTTTTTATTTTATACGCAATAAAATCTAAAAAATTTGAATAAAATTTAACTAAAAAACTAAAAAAAATAAATAAGTTCCTAAAAATCAAATTAAATCAAATATATTTCATTTTAAAATAATAAAAACCAACCCATTAAGGAAAATTCAATAAACAAGAAATTAAATTAAAAAAGAAAAATAATACATAAAATAAGTATCTAAATTGAACAAAAAATCCGGTGTGCAGGGACTCGAACTCAGATCTCTCGATTCGCAACCCTGTGCCTTGCCCACTTGGCCATTGGGATTGTTGGAGTGACGCAAGC